TAAAAAAAATTTGGTTTTTTTTTTGAAGATTTCCAAAATCGTCTTTAAAGGGGGGGGGGGGGTAAAAAGTAAAAAAAAATAAGTGTATGATTAAAATAAAATAAAAAAAATAACTGATGATGAAGCACTAGAATAGATGTCCACACTGACAATTTGTGTAATAATTATTTGATAAATTCTTTGATGAAATAATTTTATTAGACCATGTTACAAATGTGAAAAGTAAGCCAAATGAACTTACTAAACTCTGTTTTAGCTTCCGTCACAGCAGATGTTGCTCTCTGTTTATATCTAAAATAACATTACACAAAAATGTATTTTTATAGTATCAGTAAGTAGCAAACACCAACATTTTCCAACAAAAGTTTATGAATTTATAGTTGGGGTTATCATGGTTATCATTTACAGTAATTATTGGACATTAAAAACCAATTATTTGTTGCATTTTTAAGTATTTATTTATTTGTTTGTCTGTTAAAATGAAGAACATAAAATCACACATGGAATTTTTTTTTTTCTGTGCTGGTACATTAAAAATATCGGCGGGACAATAATCTGAATTTCTGGCCAGATTGGGAAGCAGAACAACCTTATTGTTGGATCTGTGAAAGGAAATGTAAACCTTTTTTGTTTTTGTTGCAAAATGGAAACTCTCATTCACTATCATCAGGATTCACTAAATGAATGAGTGAATTTACTTCAATCTCGTCGATAAAAGAGACTGGCCCTCCTCTTCAGAGAGAACCTCTTCCTGCTGACAGACCTTCCTCAATGCAAGAAAACTCAGTGTCCCGAGTGCTGAGATAACCAGCAGAGCAATAAACATAATCTTTCTGTCTCTATCTGTGGAGGAAAAAAATCTCAATTTATGCTTAAATTTCTAAATATTTTTTTTCATTTGAGAGTTATTATATTTTGTGGTTAGCAGAAATTAAATAAGTGCCGATTAACTTACGTTAAATAAAAAAGTTAACATAATCAAGCTTTTTCAAACCATCATGTTACCTGAAATTTCAGTTTTTCCTTTCCAATCAAAATAAACGTACAGATTTCCAAACAACATACTGGAAAGAAAACACAAATAGAACTTTTCATACAGGAATCATGGACAGTTTTAGGTGGTTAAAACATAGCTCTTGCTGGTTTAACTGATTTGGTTAGTAAGTTTGCATAACTCCTCAAATATGACTTATTTTCTTCAGTAAAACACAAAAGGAGGGCTTAAGTAAAATGTCCAAGCTGTCATTTTCCACAATGGAGTAACATAAATAATATAAACATTATATTAAACTAAAATTAAAACCACTGTAAAAAAATAATAAAAAAAAAATAAATATACATAAATATGTTAAATATCTTTGTAATGAAGATTATTATGATGTGCTAAAATAACTAAAACTAAAACTGAAATAAAATTAATTAATTAAAATTATAGACATGTTAAAAAACGAACAAAAACACACAACAAAATTACTAAAACTAACTAAAATTAAAATGAAAAGAGAAAATGTAAAAATTAAAATCTCAATTATATTAAAACACTAAATAAAATAACATTGAAACACACCTTAGAATATAGAGTAATATGGACTGTATTTATGATGTTCTTGTTTTATTTTTAGAGCTTGGCCGTTTAAATTTATTTTCATTTTATATGGACGAGACAAAATTAGACATTCTGTCTAATATCTAATTTTTGTCTTCTTTCACAGAAGAACATAACATGAGTTTGGAACAACATCTAGTATGTTTGGATGAACTACAGCTTTAAGAGACAGAGTTATTAATCTGCATGCTGCTGATAATTATCTATTGCTTTAACTCCTAACATTAGTTTATTGTTGATGATCACAGACGATTAAGGGTGATATATTAAAGTGAATCTCAGATTATAATTTGGGGTTAATTGTTGCTGATTCTCTGCAAGTGTTTGCTGCTGTCTCTTCCTGACCTGCACTGCAGTAAAGCCCAAAACAATCCTGTGTTCCTGTTGATGGTGGAAGCATCAGAGTTCTCCACTAGAAAGTGCCCTTGAGCTGTCCAAAGCACTGGGGATAGAAAAAAGGAATTAGAATGATGATTAAAAATGAATTTAGAGCTAATATGAGCCATGTTGCACTACTTCGTTATAAATACTTCTTAATAACCTTTGACTGTCATTTAAATTATTGCCTGCAATTCATATTGACTGACTATAATGGATTCATCAGTGTAACAAAATGCAACTATACTACCTTTTTCTGAGCGGCAACTGGAACCTGTCTCCAATATCATATTGCTTAAGTGGGTGAAGGAATTTTAGAATGTGAAACACCTACTTCTGCAGAAGTGTTTACTATACACAAAAGACTAACCACACTAACTGAGAAAATGTTGCAGTACTGCATACAAGCTTTGTGTTTAATGTGAAAAAACATTTCATTAATTATGTGGTTAAGGGTGGATGGCCTGAGGGAGAGAGAATAGTTTTGGGTGAACTATTAAGTCAATTAGTGATGAATTATTTGATGAATTTAAACACACTATGAATGTACTTGCGTGTTTTAAGTATCTACTTACGGGCTGCTCCAATGCCGATTATCACGGATGTCAAATAAAAGGACCATGTGGATGGAATGATGAATACAGCTATATAACCACTGAAAAACACACAGAAGTGAGCAATGCAGACAACGGTGGCATGGTGACTAGAAGATGAACAGTCACAAAGAAATATGGGATACTCGCCTATAAAGAACTCCACTCAAGAACATGGTAAACTGTGGTCCAATTATTGCAACGACAGTAGGAGCTAACACATTGCAGAATGAAAAAACTCCATATATTATTCCAAGGCTGTAAAAAGAAAAAGGGAATATTATTGGATATCCGATTTCATCATATCTACACCTTAAATTTCTGACATTAGAAAATGTGAGATCACTTTTTAGCCTCTACTTCTCTTATTATTCATATTGCACTGTGAAATAATGCACCATTAAACTGCTGCATATGGTCTCTTTTGCATTTCTTCGTCGCAATTACAAACTCACCAGTGTTCAACTGACATAAGTTTGCTACTTTACATTTTTAGTCAAAACTGGTGGCAACCTACAGTGATGAGTTCGTCACACTTTTTCAACCACTTTAATTACTAATTACAGTCATCTAATTACAGATGAAGAAAACAGAGTTAAAGCTATGATGAAGTCTCAATTAATCAATTAAAATAACATGATGTGTTGAATTAGATTGAAACAAATATGTTGTAACACAATGGCACAGGCATTTTTTTTTTTTTTTTTTTTACCGTGCAGCGTATTATATTTACATATCCATCATAAACCTCTAAATTATGAATATGGGATATGGTAGAAAAGGTGAAGGACTGAGATCTTACCTGTGATACCCACTCCCAGTGAAGTTAGTGCTATTCAAGCTTTTCACCACTGTTTGCTAAAATGAAATAAATAAATAAATAAACAAACGTTTTGCTGTTGACCTAAACAGCCCTGTGGCATGACAAATAAAGTTTATAAAATGTTTAATAAATACTTCATGTAGTGAATATGAACTCATAAAAACTACATGTATTTAAAAAAAGTAAAAGAATTATAAAAAATTATGCTATTTAAAATAGTTGTACATGAAGCATGTATACTGCAAGACACTGCTTGATATGTCAACTACCATTGTGTCATTGTGAATATTTTAAAGATCATTTTGCACTGAAACTTCCAACACATAGATTAACCTTAATACATATTTGTTGAATCTTATGAGAAGACATCCTTTCGTGGTTAAACTGAGTTTGTGGGGTTTTTCTGTGTTGGATGCCAGTGAGGTTAACATGAGTCCAACCGTGACATTTGAATTAGTTTCTCCCATTAGTCATGCAGGATAATTCATTGACTGATGGGGAAAATCAAAAACACGAGATGCGCCTGACCCAGATTTACCTCAACTATAGACTGTTTTCAGATAATCTAACTGAAAAACTTTATTGAATGTCGTCACAAAAACTTAAGCTGAAAAAAACACTTGATATTTACCATGGTATTGTTACTGCAATAAAACTGTGTGAATAAAATCACAACAAATAACTTTAGTTTTTGCTGTATTTTTACAGAAACTACTGCTAATAAAAAAGTTAAAACTGCTGCAAACTTTAAAGGCTTGCAATTCTCAAGTTTTGGCATAAGTACTGCTAGAATTTCAGTACAAAAAAAAAAAAAATTTCAGACATATTTTGAAACATAGTAGTATAATGAAGCATGCCATCCTATCATAGGTTACCTCTCAGTCTAATAGTTTATAGCATGCAATAAGAATGAAACACAACTTACTTCGATATTACCGCAGGTGGTGAAGGCTGTAAAAATGAGCAAAAATCCTATTCCCAAAATAACAACATTATACATCCTAACATCCGCCATCCTCAGCTCATTTAAATCCTCGTGTAAGATGCCAGAGTTTCAGCGAGTGTGCCTTGGTCCATGTAAATAAAGCCAGCATCCAGGAAAGCAAACTGTTAGAAAGCAAACCAAGTTGAGTAATTATCTACAGAATGTATATTACACTATTATTGCATTATATCCATTACAGCAGTTAAACGTTAGTGAATACAAGTGCGTGGTCACAGACGGGCACGCGCCTCGTGACCATTAAGCATGAGATGAAAGTTACTGGAATGCAAAATCCATGTGATGGTTTCCGTGGCAACTACTTCAAAAGAAGCATAGATAGATAGATAGATAGATAGAGAAAGAGAGAAAGAGAGAAAGAGATAGACAGACAGACAGACAGATAGATAGATAGATAGATAGATAGATAGATAGAGAAAGAGAGAAAGAGAGAAAGAGATAGACAGACAGACAGACAGATAGATAGATAGATAGATAGATAGATAGATAGAGAAAGAGAGAAAGAGAGAAAGAGATAGACAGACAGACAGACAGATAGATAGATAGATAGATAGATAGATAGATAGAGAAAGAGAGAAAGAGAGAAAGAGATAGACAGACAGACAGACAGATAGATAGATAGATAGATAGATAGATAGATAGAGAAAGAGAGAAAGAGAGAAAGAGATAGACAGACAGACAGACAGATAGATAGATAGATAGATAGATAGATAGATAGAGAAAGAGAGAAAGAGATAGACAGACAGACAGACAGATAGATAGATAGATAGATAGATAGATAGATAAAGAGAGCAAGAGATAGACAGATAGATAGATAGATAAAGAGAGCAAGAGATAGACAGACAGACAGACAGACAGATAGATAGATAGATAGATAGATAGATAGATAGATAGATAGATAGATAGATAGATGATAGATAGATAGATAAAGAGAGCAAGAGATAGACAGATAGATAGATAGATAGATAGATAGATAGATAGATAGAGAAAGAGAGAAAGAGAGAAAGAGATAGATAGACAGATAGATAGATAAAGAGAGAAAGAGATAGATTGATAGATAGATAGATAGATAGATAGATAGATAGATAGATAGATAGATAAAGAGAGCAAGAGATAGACAGATAGATAGATAGATAGATAGATAGATAGATAGATAGATAGATAGATAGATAGATAGATAGATGAACAGTATGGTACTTGGATTTATTGTGTAAAATGTTGATGATGATCTCACAAATTCTCTTTGTATCATTGAGCTATTTAATATATTTGAGTTGTATCCTTGAGGTTAGCTACAGCGTTGTGCTAGTTAGTTACACATGCTTGCTGTCAATAACACTGTATCACTGCAATAGCTTACCCGATTCACAAAGCCAAACTTGAACACGCAGTCGCTGTTGCTCCTGCATCGGTCAGCAGCGATTCTCTGTATGTCTTCTTATTATGAACATTAGAAAGTGCGTGAAATGATCTGTACTTGTTTACATGTTGCTTTCAAAAGTTGTCGATTGTGTAAGCGCTGAAAGATCACCAACCCCTCAAGGTAAGGTAGGGTAAGTTTACGCGTAGATCATCCGTAGATCTGTAAGCAATATCCACAGAGCTCGTGTCAAGCGCTATTGTGTGGAAATCAATGTTGACAGGCTACGTCACATCTGGATCCTCCTTGTGTTCTTTTCTTCTTGAATTACAGCAAAGAATACGATTTAGAAGCAAAAAGACAAGAAACTAAATATGCTAAGAGGGTCACAATACATGACATTCTGAAATTATATTATTACGCCGTAGAAGAGTCTATGATTTTTTTTTTAAAGAATCAGCACATTTCTTGAAATTTACATTTATGAATGTAAAATATTGCGAGGAATAGCAATACAAAAACTGAACTTAAGAAAAATTGTCTATTTTCGAAGAGTCACTAAAAAAATTGCTAATGCGGTTATTTGGGGATAAATTAATTTTTACAAAGTTAGAAAAGTCAATGCTTTGCAACTTGCAACAAACACAATTCTACAATAAATGGGCATTTGTGATGACAAAGGAGCAATTGGGTAAACTACTATTATAAACTTTATAGTTTACTGAAGTTTATGATGTACTTTATGAATAATTTTAAAAGGACCTAAGGAAAAGGAACCAAAAAAAAGTCCTCGTTACGTTTCATAAACCAGATTTTTAAATCGCGAAGTCAGTACGGGAAGCCGCGGAGCTCATTCGCTGACAGCACGCTCTTTCCCAGAAGCCTTTCCTCATATTGTACACAATCATCATGGCGGCGCAGGATGGTAGGTAGTGTGAAAATGTACTTAAATGCCGTTTGCACAGTCTTTGCGGTGTTATTTTGCGGCGTATTACATCAGCTCCAGTTATTTGACACTTGTATTACACTGAATGGACGCTCTTTTAACTTGTCAGGGTGGAATAATAGCTAGATATTATGTGATTAGCCATGTCGAAAACTTCGGCTGTGTCACAAAATCTAGAGAGCCGTCTACCTAGACAGCATTTTGAGGGATGCTGAAACGTTTGACCCTTTATGGAACTTTCGATTAACGTCTATGGGCATCGCGGAAGCGTTTGGAACGTTCGAGCGAAGGTTCCAATCGAGCCCACAGTACGTTACCCAAAGATGCTGTCTAGATAGACAGCGCAGTGAATTTTGAGACACAGTCTTGATGTGAGCTTGCGAATATTAGCACAGCGGGCTGGCTAAGTTACCGATGAGTCAGTTGTGTACGATTACAACACAGGCTCTGTCGAGTCGCTCATGCTTACAGTTACTGGTCTTAGTTCAACAGTTGGGCACAAATGAGCATAAGGGAATTTACTAGATGTTTCTGAGCCTTTAGACAGCAGCTAGACAGTTAGCTTTTAAAATCTGTGTACTAGAGACGGTCTAGTTAGGACTATTTAAGGAGTAAAACAGACAAGTAATGGGTGGGAATCTAGAACAAACACATGAATTCAGCTTGTATCTGTAAAATTTTGATAGTTACCTAGTTTTCCCAAAAGTGTTATCTTATTGGTTATAAAATATTGTCCCATGAGGATTTGTTAGTTTTATTGTAATACTTAAATACTATAGTTTGATTTTGTCATATCAGTGCTCTGAAGCAGGTCAACATTTGCACCTTGAAAACTACATTTCTTTAACAATATGATTCCTCATCTGATAATTGTTCCCACAGGAAGTGAGGTAGTAGGAATGGAGGCTGAGGTCACGCAGAAGGTACCAGAAGTGGTGTGCGAAGCTGCTGGACAAGAAGATGCAGCAGGGACTGAACAAGCATCTCTTACCGATGGCGAAAGCACGTCAGCTCAGCCCGCTGCTGTCAGCAATGGAGAGGAAAGTGACGAGGGGAAAGAGATGGTGGAAGTGAAAATCATTTGGAACAAAAACAAATATGACCTTAAAATTCCTTTAGATGGCACTGGTGCTAAACTGAAAGAGAAGATTCACACTCTCACTGGTAATCATCATGTCATGTCATTCAAACCTGTATGACTTTGTGTTTCACAGAGGTCATACAAGGTGAGACCTTGGAGAACATTTGTCCTCTTATGAGGATGTTTCACCAATTATGAAACAAATTCAATTCCAGCTAGGGCTGCACGATTAATCGAATGCGATTGTCATGCGCATCTTGTCAGTAAAAGCCGGTTCTGTTATTAGTAGTAAATCTCCATCACGTGCTTTCAGATAGAGCAGAATTTACTACACAGAGCCGTAGTTCACTGACAAGCTACGCAAAATCGCATTCATAATCACAGACGATTTAATCGAGTGATTATGAAATCGTTCTGCGATTATGAAAGCTGTTTGCGTAGCTTCTCAGTGAACTACGGCTCTGTGTAGTAAATGCTGCTCCATCTGAAAGCATGTGAAAATACCACACTTAATAACATGTTTTTACTCCAAACTCACTTCATAACGTCAGTCAAGTGTTTGAAATAAATCCTTCTGTGAGATGATGTGGCTTCTTACACAATAAGGCACGCAATATTTTATAGTATTCTAAGCAGTGATAAAGGCTATGTCGATTATCATTGCATTATTATATACTTTATTATAGGGCTGGGCGATATAGCTAAAAAATGTATCGACGATATAATGTTTCATATCGTTCGGTATCGATAATTATTGACATTTTTATAACCTTTTTTAAAACAAAAAGAAAACTGTTTCAATTTAACCACTGTATTTATAATTAACACAATTTATTGAGACAAACAACAAATATTTTTTGTTTTAACAAACACAATAAAAATTAAACAAATATCTAATTTCTAATGTTTTATATGCAGATTAAATGGGTCTTTATTGTATAGGTCTAATTGTCTCCCGAGGCCACAGGAGGGCGCAATGAGCAAAGTAATGCAACGCATTTAGCAAGTAACTCTATAAAAACGTGCATTACGTCTAAATTAACTCATAAAAATCAAATATAATTTAGTAAATTGCATGAACAATTATGAACAAAACAGCATCATGTATTTATGCATTGCTTAATCTAAAGACCCGAAGCGCCATTCATACAGACTGCATTAAAAAACATATGAGACACAGTGAAAAGGAATAAACCTCCACAAATTCGCGACGTGTTTTCTAAAAGTTTAAACTTTGAATGCTTTCTAATCTCTTGTGTGAGACGTGAGTGGAGCAGTCATATTTGTCTGTCTAAAAATGTGCTGAATATGCGTTCTGTGTGAATGGCTTGGTTTTGGTTTTAACCTAATCAAGATCTTCTCCGCATATAGCTTCTATATTTCTCTAATATTTTGAATGCATAACACAGCAGCGGCGCATCTCGTGGGCTAGACTAACAACACATTAAAATGCAACAACGTCACTTACATCATCATCACAGCATCTCGCGCGCCCTGATGCACACCTAACATTCAAATGCAAATGTTTATTTTAAATTCGACTAATATTCATTCTTTATTCACAATCTCCTCATCACAGACAGTCACAGCAATCATTTTAGCATGTGTTCGTGTTTGTGCGTGCTGTCTGCGTCACTCATAGCACATGCCTATATCGTGCACTATATCGAATATTTTTTATATCGTTATCGAAGAAGGTGTACTGTCGATAAATATCGATACCGTTTTATCGCCCAGGCCTATTTTATTATAATAAAAATTATAATGAGACGAACTTGGATAAACTATGTGAAGTGAAGTGTCGTAGTCGTGTTTATTAGTCACGTTGAATTAATGAAAGCAGTTAAGTCTTCTGTTTATTCAACAACCGCTATAGGCATTTCTTCTGCGGGGTGTATTTGGAGTTTCAGCGCGAGAGTGCACACTGGCCTTCGGATGGACTTTACTGCAGATCACAGAACCGTGCTTCACTGAAGATACGCATGACAATCTGCTTCTGCCTAATCGCGATTTATTGCCTTTGCAATTTAATTTCGATTAATTGTGCAGCCCTTATTCCAGCTGTAAAGCAGGTTTACAGAAGACAGTAGTGTCAATATTTAAATTAATTTGGCAGAGCTTTTCATTATCCATTATCCAAGTAAAAACAATCCCATGTAAAGATATACATGATCAGATTTTTGAAATTAGTTTCAAAAGAGTTTAAAAGCATCCCAGAATTCACATCCTCCAGCAATTACTATCATTTTAAAATGTAGAAAATAGAAATAGTTGGTGTGTCCAAACCTGACTATCAGATTGTTTTTTTTTTATAGGGATGTAACGATGAGCTGCGAGCCGGTTGAAAATCGAATCAAATATCTGACGATTCAAATCGGTTGAGATGCTAAAAAAATCACGAGACAGTTGGGGTAGGAGTTTATATGAATGTATCTCTGACTGTCTTTAGAAAAAGTTTACGTGGAATTTTCTTTTCATCTTGTTGCCTCTGAATGATGTATATTAAGGTAGTGTTCATAAGCCTGCTTTGCTTACAGCGGTAACCCAGGAAACACTGTATCATTGCTGTTCATAAGTGCCACCTGCTGTCAGAGAGTGAACTTGCGTCTCATTCAGCTCGTCTGCTGTTTCCTTCAGATAGGTTTTATGTAGTATAGTTTCACAAAACTAAAGTCAGACCATTCTGTTTTTGCTTCAAATTTCGAAATTATACAGTCTAATTTAGATTAAAACCTGCTCATGCTGCATGTATGCAGCATCTTTGTTTGGATCATGATTAAAATGCAGTGGTTGCCTCCAATTTTAAATGGAAAGAGCACAGACAAAGCCTTAGTTTGTTTATATGAAGAGATGTATTTTATTCATGTAACTTATATGATTTGGGGTTTGCTTTAAAATTTCAGTTTAGTTTTGTTATATTTCAATTTCACAAATAAACGTGCAGCAATAGCCTAATAAAAGGACACCTTTTCATTTACTATATAATGTCTTCAATCTCATTTTGTTAAAAAAATCGTGAGAAAATCGAATCGTTACATCCCTATCTTTTTGTACTGTATATTGTTATTTTTGAGCACAAAATTACCTTGGTCTGTCTCATGTCACTACTAAAGCATCAATAAAATGCTTCATGGTGAGACTTTATAATGTTGTATAATATGGAACCACCATATATCAGGATTGAAATGACCGAATACAAATGCTTTTTTGTGTGTTTTGTATGGTT